ACAGAAGGAGCGCTCATGTCCAGGAAAGATGGGCCCTTTTCCTTTTAGCACCACGCACCAGGGCTCTTTGCATCGGGAGCACACAATTGGCATGTGGCTCGCATCGCCCACTTGCTGTTGCCATTTTAATAGGTTCGATTACCCGGTTGACTGGCAGTCATGCCATCTTGGTAGACCCGAAGGTTTACTGGGAGGGGACGCTGCTCGTGTACATCCCAGGGTTGGTTCCCCCTCTCCAAGTCCCTTTTAGCCAAAGCATAACTTCCGCTAGTCGAAAAGAAGAGAACATCTCTGCTGCATGTTTGGGTGGGACACATTCGGATCTGGGAGTTTCTTCAATTGCCATAAATAAACTGACGCAAAGCAACCTGCAGTCGGGGTGTGGGGGTGCCCCCGGGCCTCCATACTGTGCATGGAGAAAGTTCACTTCGCATCCCAATATTCAAGTCAGGGTTCATCCCTGCCAATCAGTTCCCGTATGGCTTCACGTCAGCCGAATGGCGTTGCTTCCTTTGGTTCTATCTTTGCCACATGGGGGTGTCTTGTTCTTGGAGTTGCCCTCCCACCAATTCACCTGGAGCCTGGCAGGGGGTCCCTTTTTATCAGGAAAATCGTCTTCCAGCCCCTCCCCCCGTCAAATTCCAGGTTAAATGAGTGGGGTAGGTTGGAAGCTACCAAGCTGGATGTCCTGTTGGAAACAAAAAACAACCCCCTTGTTGGGGTATTGAGGAGGGGTATCCAAGCCACCCCACCATTTCCTCTAAAAGACGAGCTGGCTCAGGAGACGGCGCGGCCGTCCCACAGGGCGAGGTCCTTCTCGCGGCCGGCAGTGTCGGTCTCGGCCTCGCGCGCGGACCTCGGAGAGGGGCAGGGCTGGTCACCAAATTTGGTAATGAGCCAATCGGTTTGATTGCATCAATCGGATGGATTTCATGGATGGATGGCTTGGTTGGCTGGCTGGCTGGATGGGTTGGGTTGGGTTGGCTTGGGTTGGCTTGGCTTGGCTTGGCTTGGGTTGGTTTGGGTTGGGTTGGGTTGGGTTGGGTTGGGTGGTGTGTTGGTTGGCTGGCTTGGTTGGTTGGTTGGTTGGTTGGCTGGCTGGCTGGCTGGCTGGTTGGTTGGTTGGTTGGTTGGTTGGTTGGGTGGTGTGTTGGTTGGGTGGTGTGTTGGTTGGGTGGTGTGTGGGTTGGTTGGTCGGTTGGTTGGTTGGTTGGTTGGTTGGTTGGTTGGTGGGTGGGTGGGTGGGTGGGTGGGTGGGTGGGTGGGTGGGTGGGTGGGTGGCTGGATGGCTGGCTGGCTGGCTGGCTGGCTGGCTGGCGGACTGGTTCGTTTGTTCGTTCGTTCGTTCGTTCGTTCGTTCGTTTGTTGATTCGTTGGTTCGTTGGCCGGTTGGTTGGCTGGTTGGTTCGTTGCTTCGTTAGTTGGTTGGTCGATTGCTTTGTTGTTAGGTCATTTGGCTGATTGGTTCAAGTGAAAGGAATGATAGATCAAGCGAAGCCAACGGAATCTGGAGGGCCATCCTTGTCAGTGGGATGCGGCTCAAATGGAGCAGGTCATTTCTTTCCAGTTTCCGCGCTAAAAGAGGGACAGTCTCTGGTGAATGAATGACTGCCTGGAATTAACAACGTATGGGTCGGTAGAATTTTCACGAGCACCTACCGGGAAAGCGAGCTCACGCTTTTTGGATATGTTTGTTTATGTCCAGGTGGTTCCCGGTCATTCAACGCCTCACCCCGTAGCTGCTTGTGGAGTTTTGATTGGTATGCCTCAACGACAGCGCATTTTGTGAAGGATGCTGAAAAGACAAGCTGATCACGAGTTTGTTTCAGTTGAATTTGCGACTCAGATAATGACATCCATCTGAGAGCTGTTGCTTCTCCCCGATTGTGACTCTTGGGTGAAGTGGATGGAGCAAATCCAGACAGGCTAGCTAGGCCACAACTTAACCCGAGTCCAAAAAGGAAGGTCATCAGTTGGAATGTACTCGCGAGGAGACTCCTCCAAGCGCGCAAAGGGTCTGCAAAATCGGAGCCTTTCTGGGACCAAACACGACCCTCGTTTTCCCGCCGCCGTTTCTTGCTCAAGCGATGTGAGTTCCTTTCTTGGGGGTTGTTCTTGAGGGACACCAAAAACAACACCTATTTGGAGGGTTCTCTCTTAACCGATTTATCATTTCGTGTGGGTTTGCCCCGATGCATCCAACCTGTGACGGCGACCTGGAGCTCTGCGTTTTCGGCCTCGACGGCTCCGAGCTGCGGCTGGAGGTGCCGAGAGACGCGCTGGGCAGCGAGTTGCTGCGCCTGGCGCGGGCCAGGCTGCGCCTCGGCTTTTTTCGAATCTAGAGGGAAATACGTACCCCCTCGTTCACAGCCGGTTGTTTTTGTTGGCTTCCGTGGTTTCCTCCGCCACCTTTGTGAGGGGTAGAAAAACCACCTCTTTTAAAGAGAGGGGTATGAGTTCAGCAGGGCTTTGGGTTCATTGGTCCAAATGTGAAAGGGGTACCAGCGCCCCAAAATTCCGTGGATTTCCCGTTGCCATCCAAAAAGGGGTCCCCGATTTTGAGAACCCCCCGATAATTTTAACCATAACTCATACTACGAATAATTACGAAATCCAAAAATCGCGCCACGAAATGAGCTACCATGGTTGAAGTCTTTTGTCTGTTGGTATGTACAGGTCCCCTTTGAGCAGGCATTCAGACCTCTGGAGGCGAGCATCCCCCCTATAGAACCGGTTTCCGGGGTCAACATTCCGGATATGACATAGAATCTGCCCGCTTGGTGTACCCCCGGGTTCGGCCGCGCAGCCAACCCGCGGGCAAGTCCCGCCTTTTTACCTTCAGCCGACAGGCGGGCTGAAAACACGGGCCGAAAGTCAGCTGACCAAAAGTCATTGGCGAGCCCTTTCCCAGGAAGAAGCATCAAGTAGTAACCCTTCTTTGGTGGCTTGGATTGGTTGGAGAGTTGAATTTCTGGTTCTTGTAGAGGGTAGATGGGAAGCCACCACGGAGAACCTCCAAAGCACAGACTCAAGCGGCCCATTTCAGGACGTGAAGCCCCGTCTATGGTTGAAGCTCGCAAGGTAGCTCGCCACCAATAGTGTGGATGGAGGAGAACCCTGCACCACCTAAAAACTCTGGAATGATGATTCTCCTGGTAAAAAGCGCCAACAATGCAGTTTCCCATGATTCAAAAAGTGGTTCGAACGGATTTCGCCCATCAGGTACTAAATCAGAAGCTGCAATGACCTTCTGAGGCCTTCCAAGCCCGGGTGTGCTCTTCACTTGAGCTTCGGTGGCAGCCCGCTGCTTTCTCACAGACTGCTCAGGGACCAAGCCTTGGCGTGGTTGGAGGGCGCTTTTACCTACGTACAGGCGATTTGGGTGCTTACAACACATGGAGCCCTGGAAGTATGACTGGATGTGGGTTTTAAAGTACCCCACACCCCCCATTCTAATTATTTAGGCCCCAATGCCAAATTGAAGAAATTAGTTTTCTGACTTGAAGCATAGCCAGCCAGTGCTTGGAGCCTTATCAGGAGGGTTGAACATTGGTGAAGGCTTTCATTTCGTTTTTCTTCGGCCAAATTCCTCTGCCGGGGATGAACCCGTGCTGCCCCCAGATCTAAGTGAAGCCTCACTAATAAGGCCACCACGAAAGAATTCAACGGATTTACGAGTCTGGCGTCAACATTACCCGAAGGGAGAACCAAAGAGAGGAGGCCTGGATACCTGGAATCTTGCATTGCTTGTCTTGCTGGTGCTCAGTAGGGAATGTGGTTGAATGTTTCCAGGGCTCCCCGCAAAGCAAACCGCAAGCGATGGTTTATAGTGGTCATTCCCTCATTCCCTGCCTGTCGCACCGGCAAGTTGTGTATGCCGAAGAGCCCTTTCAGCGATTCCCGATCCGAAGCGGGAGCAACCGGCCAGGCGGACCTGCTAGCTGCATTGGATGTGCTGACAGGGCGAGCGGCTGAAAGCTCCGTTGCGCTTGAAGGAATCATAGAGTTGAGCTGGCAAAGATCAAACCTTGGGGTCCTTGCAAGCTTAGGCTTTCCAGAGACTCTGCAAAGCCTGAACCTTGGAGATCAGTTCAACCAAGCCTTAGTGAGTTTGCCAAGCACCCTGCAGAGCCTGACTTTTGGCTACAGCTTCAATCGACGTCTGGGAGTGACCTTGCCCAGCACGCTGAAAGCTCTGACCTTTGGGCATCGCTACAATCACAGCTTGTTGCCTTTGCCGGGCAGCCTGCAGCTCGGCGGCAAGCAGCACCTATGTTCCTTGGGTGGTTGGGTGTGTTCTTTCAAAAAAGGCTTTGAGTTTTTGAGGGCTCCATTTGGGCAAACGCGTTGAAGGAAATCAGGGGTAGATCAGCCAAGCTGGAGTTCCCTCACTAGACAGCAAGTCAAGCACAGGGTTCCATGATTTGCCCACTGGGCAAGTAAGGGAGAGCCTTACATTCGGAACATGCTTCAACACAGACGCCTCTGGGTTGCCCAGCACATTGCGGAGCCTGAGATTCCCAGTCCAGTGGCACCTGCGTGCTTGTTTGTTCTCCTTTGCCGTGGACGGTTTCTCCTTGAAGCAAAACACAGTGTTCGTTCGTTCGACACCTTGGTCGCACTTTGTCGCTTGCTCAGGATTTGGGCATGGCTATAACCAGCGCCTGCAAGATGTGGCCCTGCCGCACGCTTTGCAGAGCTTGACCTTTGGGATCGACTTCAACCAAAACTTGGAGGGTGTGTGCCTGCCAAGGGAGTTGCAGCACTTGGCTTTTGGAGATCAGTTCAACCAAGGCTTGCAGAACGTCAATTTGCCCGAAGCGCTGCAAACGCTGACCTTTGGCTACTACTATAACCAAAGCTTGCAGGGAGTACGTCTGCCAGCTACTCTGAAGAGTCTGACCTTTGGCAATCAATACGACGGTAGCTTGGAGGGAGTGAGTCTGCCCAGCACCCTGCAAAGACTGACATTCGGCACAAGATTCAACCAAGAGCTGGCAATGAGTCTGCCCTGCACCCTGGAGAGCCTCACGTTAGGAAGCAGCTTCAGCCAAAGCTTGTCGGGAGTGAACCTACCCATCACCCTGCAGAGCCTGACGTGTGGCGATGGCTTCAAGCAAAGTTTTCAGGGAGTGTCTTTGCCCAACACCCTGCAGAGCCTGACATTTAGCTACAGTTTTGACCAAAGCTTGGAAGACGTATGCTTTCCCAGCGGCTTGCTAAGCCTAACCTTTGGCAAGAACTTCAACCAAAGCTTCCACGGAGTGAGTTTGCCAAAGACCCTGCAGAGCCTTACTTTTGGTCACAGCTTCGACCAGAGTTTGCAGGGAGTGGCTCTGCCCGACACCCTGCAAAGCCTGACCTTTGACTACAGCTTCAATCAAAGCCTGGAGGGAGTGAATCTGCCCAGCAGCCTGCAAAGCCTGACGTTCGGCAAGTGCTTCGACCAGAGCTTAGAGGACGTGAATCTACCTGGCAACTTGCAAAGCATGAGCTTTGGCAGGAGCTTCAGCCGCAGCCTGGAGGGCGTGAGGTTCCCCGACAGCTTGCGGAGCCTGAAGCTGGGTGAAGCTTTCAACCGCCCCATGCAGGGAGTGAATCTGCCCGGATTGCAGAGACTCACTTTCGGCGGTCACTTCAACCAAAGTCTAGTGGAAGTGCCTTGGCCCAACCTGCAAAGCTTGACGTTTGGCCGTGCTTTCAACACAAGCTTACAGGACGTCAGTCTACCCGGCGACTTGCGAAGCCTGGAATTTGGAGACGAGTTTAATCACAGCTTGCAAGGAGTAACTTTGCCCTGCTCCCTGCAGAGCTTGATCTTCGGAAAGAAGTTCAACCAAAGCTTACAAGACGTGTGTCTGCCCGATACCCTGCAGAACCTGACGTTTGGCTCGGGGTTTAACCAAGCCTTGCAGGGAGTGAGCGTGCCCAGTAGCTTGCGCAGTGTGGAAGGCTCGGGTATCAAGATTGGCCGCTGAGTCGGCGTCTTGGCGATAGATCCCCTTCGCGAGCCGAAGAACTCCATTCCAGTCCAACATCAACCCAAGTTTTACAAAAAAGCAGACGAGGCAGACTTTGAACCAGTCGCAGATCAACGGCCACTCGTGATGCGCAAGCCCAGGCTCGGGCATTAGGCGGCTGACAAGACAGGACCTTGGCAGAAGTTCTGCAATATTGAGTTCGCGAAGAATGGGTTCAAAGTGAACATTGGCTGGATTCTCAACACTGCGGTAGCAGATTTCGTATTCACCGCCCTCCAAAGGTTCCCTATATTCCCCCCTTTGGTGGTTTCAAACATCACCTTTTGGGCCAATATCAAGCGAGTTTCCTTTGGGTGGAGTGATGTTCAAAGGGGAAGTACGAGGAGCCCTGCCCGAAAGGGAGCAGGTAGCACCTGAGGATATGCCAATGAGCAATGCGACCAGGATTGGTTCTTTGAACCTTCTAAGAAGGGTGCTTAGAAGGGTTCTGAGAGCAATTCTGGGGGGTAGGGGACCCAAGCAAGTTAGCCCTCAGCGACACAACAAGTGATTTGCTTCCCCATGTCCTTTTGTTTGCCACAGTGTGTGTGTGTGTGGTTGGAAGGGAACACCACTCATTTTGGAGGTCCTCCTAAAACACACACACACACAGACACCGAAAAAGTTATTCGCTGCAGAAGTTGGGAAGCTGTTCTGTTGTTTTACTTTTCGTTTCCGGTTCCGATGGAAACGGACCCGGCGCGCTTCATCGTTCTTTTGTTGGCAGCTTACACACGTTGCGGAATCGCTCGTATGTTTCGGATTTTAGCAAACCCAACATGCGGGTAGGTTTTGAACCAGTCCTCCAGCTGTTTCTGCTCCTTTTTGCTTTGTTCGTGAAAAAGGTGGTGGCAATGAGCGGTTGGTTCCCATGTGGTTTCTCTCGGCCCGTCCAGCTGGATTCGGAAGACGGTTCCTCTGGTCTCTGGCCCCACACTGGGCTCGTGAAGGCGCGAAGATCGCAGGTTTTAAAGCGTCTAGCGGGGGGCGGGGTGGATTGCATCAATGGAACCCAGTCAGAGGATCCATTCAAGTTCGGTCCGCGCATAGGAATCTGCAGAATCCTTTGAGCCCTTCGGTATACGGTATCTCATAAAAGCTCCTTGTCAGCCCCCCCAAACCACAGGGCACATGGAGAACATGCTACTGCTGCTCAGGCAGTACAGTCTGCAGTTCATCTTTTGTCCTCGGCTTGGGGGTGAACCCCACTCTTTTGGAGACATAGGAAAGGCCCCTTCCAAACCACGAATCGGAAACCATGGCAATGGATCACGATTTGGGATCTTTCAAAAAGTATCCCAATTCAGGCTCGTTCCCACTTGCTCCATGTTGACAACGAGTAAAGGGCGAGGCCCCTCAAAAGAAGTTCGGAAAGCCACTCCATTTCTCCTGTGAGTGAAGCATACAAATGTCAACAGCTTACCGTCATTCAAGTGTCAACAGCCTTACCATCCCTGGGACAGGGGTTGCCTTTGCAAGGATTCCCCGTGCTTCCTTTAAACAGACATCCGCTGCCTTGCAGCTCACTTCAACTTAACTTGGCCGACTCTGAGGCCCCAGGCGGACTCAGAGTGGCTGGGAGGAGTCCGACCGCACCCAGGATCCAACAGATCGGAGATCGGATCGACCCAACTCACGAAGGTTTGCCTCTTTGAACCTTCCGGTAGGCTGGGCTCATTTGAAGGACACGGTGGCCCATGTTTTGGCTGAAACCTGGGGCTTCATGTTTGCCCGTCACGGGTGGTTGGCGATTGTTCCCGGTTGTTTTGGGGATGCAGGGGATGCGGTCTTCGCCTCATTCGCTGTTGATGTGCACTTGTGCGGTGCGCGCGATCGCTGGGCTGAGCAACCCCTACAGCCAACCAGCTCAACTGGTGATGGCGATGCCCTAGGATAGTGGTGATTGGTTGTTGGAATTGGCAAGGCACCCGCCATGCCCGCCATCAACTTGTAAAATGCCCCCACTGCAACCACTTCTCGCTTTCAATGTCTTGGTCACTAGAGGTTGTCTTTGCGAATTTGAGAATGCATTTGATGCATACGTTTAAAAACACCCAACTTATGCTGCTCGGGTTGGGTGTTTCTCCGTTCGCCTTTCTGTGCCCCACGCATCATCAACATCTCATTGTTCTTTGTACTTCGTCCACTAGGCCTCCTGACCTTTTCTTGAGCCAGCGACCAAACCATTAGTGCTCGTAGGCACACAGGCTGGAACAAAGGATGCAACAAGATGTTGGCCTTTCGGGGTTGTGCAACATGGTTTCAACAAAGACCCTTGCTTCAACCTTTGCTTGCTTTTTGGGAGCCATGAACTAAATGGCAGAAGCGGGGAGAGAGTCGAGTTGGAAGACAAAAGCCACCCTCCCCCAATGGAAACTTTGGCGTGGGGAAGCAGCCACAGTGTGAGGAGCAGATCCATGCGTGGAAGACCCAGAACCAGAAGGATCCGATTGGCCGGCTCATAAAGCGTTCGGGCTGCAGCTTTCGATTTCGCGAGGGCAACAGTTTGGGTGTGACTTTTTCTGCGGGTCCCCTATTTTAACACATACCCATTTGCGGCACCGTGATCCGATAGACACTGATCTAGATGGTGACCGAAATGAGTTGATGCTTAAAGCCGCACTGATTTTAGTTTGTACCGCGCAACAGGTGGTTGGCCCAACCCCTGAATTGTGTTTGATGTCTTTTTTAGCGCGAAACAGTTGACCCTTTTGGGCAATGATGCAACTTGCAGAGGGTTAAGTCCCATTGCAGTTGGTTTCTGCACAAATGCCAAGCCCCGTGCTAAACAGAGATCGCGAAGCCAAACTTTCAGACGACTGATCCATGTTCAGGTTACATGTATTGCGGGTATGTCCCAAATGAGGGGTGAGGCCGTAAGAACGGGTGATCTCATTTAGGTTGCCCTTCACACCATCCCCATCGCAAATTTGCTTGGAAGACTTACCCATCAAACATGGAACCTTGCAGGGGTGCTGGAAGACCATTCTCCTTCAAAAGGGATTCCCTGGTGGGTTCCATGTTGTGTTTCCCACAGGAGTTCTCCGAGTCTGAACCGAGAGGCCTGCAAAACGGTTCGATCGACGCAGGAGCCCCAACGTGACTCCTGTACTGCCCTGCCGACAAATGTTTTGCCGACAAATGTTCGCTCCCTTTGTTTGGACTGGCGCAAATCCAGGGTTACCCGGACCAGTGGTCACAGGATCTCTGCAACCCGGCCAGGGGACCGACTCCAAGGTGAACTCATTCACTCCAAGTCATAAGGTGGAAGCCAAACATTTGGTCGTCTGTATCTCCAAAACCAACATGAAACACTTGTTGCATTCCCACAAATTCCCCAAATTCCCAAGAGGGTCTCCCCAATTTGAATGACTCAGATCCTCAGATGGTCTAGGAGAACGACTGGCACCGGGGCTGGCCCAAAGACGGCGATCGCTGGAAGTCCGAGGCGCCCCGTTTCGCCTGTGACGACGTCGGCCGTTTTGCGGCTGGGTTTTTCCCCTTAAAGCCAACCCAAAGGGGCCTACCCACAGAAAAGACATGCCCATATAGTGCCGCAGACCCCCAAACTTGGAGTCAGTCTTCTTTTTGACTTCCATTAGGGTACCGAGCCTCAAAAAAAAAACACTGCCACATACAATGGGACATAGCCACGGGGTTAACTGCCCAATGTAGATTGTTCCCTGTTGGCTTTGGGCCAGTTTGGGTTTGCCATGTGATACCGGAAAAACATGTTAAAACAAAACGCAGAGGGACTTAGTCAAAAGGGCTTTCTTCTCTTGAGCTTCCTGGGGGAATCCATTTGTACAAGCTTAGGTGGTCCAAAGGGTTGTTTCAAATAGGGGAACCTCCAAACCACTAGTTTCCTTTTGGTTTCCCTTTAAGCCAACTCAAAAAGAGTACTCCCCCAAAAAAAGACGTGAAGCTGAACCGTTTTGAGTGTGTGGGCGGGTACTTTGTCGGACATGGGTCGCTTGCAAGGAGTATGAATCTTAATGGGTCCCTGACCCTTCGGTTGACACGCTTTAGGTGGGGGGTTCCCCGTACATTGTGGTTTGCTTTCAAGCAACACCACATGACAACCACACTGTGTTCCTCACTGTAAACCGCCCTTAAAGTGGGGAAGAACATCGTCATTCAGAATCACTGTAATGTCGCGCAGCTAAAAGGATAAGTATCCAGTCTTGTTGTCTTGGTTGCTTCCCACCGAACTGCAAGCAAAGAGGATACAGCAATGATAATGCAACCAAGTTCACGGATCCGCAAGGTAACAGGACATGACGTGCTGAGCTCAAACCCACTCATTCAGTGGGTCTCGACACTACAGGGGTTATGGCAAGGCTGATATTATAAACCTGTAAACCTATTTTGGTAGAACCAAAAGTCAATGGCGCCTTTGGTAGAACCAACAGTCATGGCTTTTTTGGCCCCCCTCATGTTTCATCACGAAAGGTAGCGTAGCTAGTTGAGTTCGCTTTCTTGCGCAAGTCCATGGGCAGATCGCATCTTCAGGACTTGAAAGGGCCATAAGCAACGGTTCTTCATCTCGGAGGGGTGCCTTTGATTCTGTGCCCCTCAATTCCTCTCTGGCCCACCTCCCTCAGCCTAGCCCGGTTCACCCCTGCGCAGCCGAGCCGTTGGGTTGCAGCCCTTCCCTGCCAAGCCAAGGCTGTTGGGCCGTGATTTTTGCGGGGCACGCCAGCCATGCGTCGCACAAACATTTGTATAGGCTGCAAACACTGAGCTGCTAGTAGCAGTCTGTGCCAATCGGTCTGCTGCGTTCTCTGCATCCCCCTTCCTCCCCTGCCAGCTGCCGTGCGTCTTGCGACTGGCCTGGCGCGTCTTTTGTTCGCGCGACCGCGTCAACGCCAAGCTTGGACTGCTGCTTTCGCTTGCCGACAAAGCCAAACTCCTGCCAGCTGCGATCCAAGCCATGCTCATTTTCCCTACAGTCCCGT